AATTGTTCCTTTCTGGCAGTAAATGAGACATTTGAATCTCTTCCACACCAAGGAGAGGGAGCCTTTTGTGCATACCCTTGTTGATACTGGACTGCAGGGTTAAGTGAGAGTGGTGAGACACTGGAACAAATTGCTCAGGGGAGGGAGTAGAAGCCCCAACCCTGACAGTGTTCAAAGCCAGGCTGGATAAAGCCTTGACCAACCTCGTCTGGTGGGGAGGTGTCTCTGCCCATGACAGGGGTGGAGTTGGGACTAGATGATCTGTAAGGCCCATTCCAACTCCTAAAATTCTATGATTCTATGGGGCTCTCATATTCGTCCTGAGATTCGGATTAGGCGGCAATTCTTTTTGCCAACTGCCAGAGTACCTTTGATTTCACTTCTTGCATAAGTCATCAGCTTTTGTAGGATCACTATTCTAGTATCGTCCCAGTGCCTTTCTAGTCTTTGTGTCCTGGCAAAACTTACAGTCACTGATAGTGATCTGCTCATCACAATATCCTCTGGGAAACTGGATATCATATAAGAGCCAGCAATAGCTTTTTACTCTTAGGATGTGACATAATCCAGAGTTACTGGAACTCTTATTTTCTCCCCCCTCTTTTTTTAATGTTCCATTTTAAAATCAAGAAACTGAGCCACATATTTTTAATAATGAGAATCTGGATGAAGTTCAATCTAAATTTTGAAAATATACTCCAATTAAAGACTTTAATAGATTCTTGGCTTTCCCCTCATCTCATTGCCATGTGGATTCAATAATCCCAAGACCCTTTTTTCCCTAGTAGTAAGTAGACTACAGCATGGGTGACATCATTCTCCAGAAGGTCAGCCTCTCCTGGACTGCCATTTTCTGAGCATTTCTTGCAAAGATTTTGTTCAGGGGGGACTTTGATTTTTTCCAAACTGGCTGCAGATCTGCCGTAATTGTGTCAGACACTGTGTTTGCTCTTTTGAAGCTGCAATGACTTTTGGATTGTGTGCTCCAAAAGAGAGGTTTTGTTCCCAAGCCAGGGGGTTTCACTAACAGAAACAGTATGTTCTTCTCTTTGGTAGGACAATATGGTGATCACTCAGGTCACAGACCTGCAGAGACTTACTGATATGCTTTACTTCAATGACAACTCATGCAAAAAAGCTCATGGACTGCTACATTCAGCCACACCAGACATCTGTGTGACTGGTTGTGATATCAAGCTCTCCAGTTTGTGTGGCAGATGAAACCTATTGTTGTGTAGATTAGAAAGTTATATAATCCCTGTATGAAATAGCATCCAGCACACTGAGTATCGATTTTGGTGTGTCACTGTTGCCCTTACTCAACATACAGCTTGGGCCAAACAAGTGAATAAGGCACTAGGGTGTATGTTGAATGGAAGAAAAGATAATGTGGGGAAAAAATGTAATACCTTTAGATAATTGTATTATGTGGATGCATCTGGAAAACTCTGTGCAGACACAGTTTTAAAGAAACTATTAAGAAGCTGGAAAACTTCCCACTAGAAGAGAAATTAAATGACTGGTGCTATTTGCTGTGAGAAGCACAGAAGAGGGACATAAAAACTTGTAAAACAATTAAATGTGTGAAGAAGGTGGATGAGGGGGAACTTCTTATCTCTTAAGTTCCCACAAAAAGAGATGAACATTTAGTTACAGTAGAAAAATCAGAGCCACTTGAATGAAACTTGTTCCACACAATTTTGTCATAAAAACATGAAAATTACAGTCACAAGAATCTATTGAGGACCTTGTCTGGTGGAGAGGTGTCCCTACCCATGGCAGAGGGTTGGGACTAGATGATCAGTAAGGTCCATTCCAACCCTTAAATTCCATGATTCTATGATAAGATAGTAGAGGCCATAAAGGTTTGGTATTTGATCTTCTTTTTGATTATTTTATGTTTTTATCACAGCCTTCCATACAGTGCCCATTACCTGTGCTGTCCACTGAGTTCTCCAAATTCTTTTCAATGCCCACACTTTCCAGCAAACTCATTGGGTAGCTATGTCCTACATTTTGTTTCTAGACACATTGCACTTATACAGTTAGTTTTATCAGCCAAATCTCTAACCTGACCAAATAATTCAGTTGGCTTTGTTTGACAAAATCATTTTGGAAAAGGCAGATAACACTTTTATTTCATTCAAAGATTACCAAGCAACAAAAGAAAAGCTAAGAATCTGTTCCATAATTAAAATTTAGCTGGAAAGCAGCAAAGGCCCCATATTTATGCTGCTGATGTCCCAAGCTTTTGCCCCAGAAAACATAATTTTTCCTTATACAGTAAGAGGGACTCATCTCTAGAAAATCACAGCTTAATTCCACAGTTCCTACAGGGGAACTGTTACAGCACTTCCCTAGACTTCAGGTAACCGGAGCCTATTGCTTTTATCCTATCCATCAAAAACAGCATCTTATTTCGGTACTATGTATTCTCTCCAACCCAGGAGAGACAACCATAACTTGCCCCTTATCAATAAAATTTCTTCTACACATGTGGCCAGTTTTGCTGCTCTCATCTTGCCTTTCTTCAGTAATTATGCACTCCTCTTTAGCTGCAGTGGATACACTTAGTTCCAAAAGGCTCCTGTAGCCCTAGTGCAATTTCCCAACCAACAATTCAAGGGAAAAAAAGGAAGGCTTGCAATTCCTCAAATGCTTATTCAGAAATGTCACATACTCATCCAGCTTTGGAGACAACAGTGTGATCTAGAATTAAAGTGTCTGTTTATTCCAACAATGCCCAGAAAACTTCTAGTTCATAAATATGCAAAGGTATAAGATAATAGCATGCAGCTCAGAGCACTGAAGCATCAGGTGGGATGTCACTTACAGGGCAAGTCACTTTACACGTAAAGACTGGCTAAGACTCAGAAGATGTGAGGCACAATAGTTAATGCTGATGTCAGCTGTTAAACACCAGTGATTTACTCACTTGTCACCCAGCTCACGTGCTTGAAAGCAAGGAGATGGCATAGTATATCCTGGTTTGTCTTACTTTTGGAGAGAAGAATCACATGTGGCTTAAAGCCACCTCAGCATGTCTTGCTCTTTCTGCCTGCAACTCCAAGGTCTCCAGACCAGCATATTTGTGCTGGCCCTTGGGGACTGTCCCAGCAGCCAGAAATTAAAATCATGCACTTTTACCTTGGCTTTGCACCTATTTTTGAGACCAGGGATCAGCTTGTCAGAGCAACTACTAGAGGGATGAGCACTATGACAGTTGACATTTTTCTGATTCATTACCTAGAGATCATTTCACATGGTTAAACGCAGTTCAAAAGCCCTCTTTTTGTAGTGAGTTACTAAGTTTTGAGATCAACCTGTGAACACAATTTCAGTTAAGGGCTGCTCTAAGCCTAGTGGTCTGTGATGCAGAGGTGGTGGTCTGCGCAGAGCCAGCTGGTCACAGGGTACTGGCTTGTTTCCTGTTTTTTCAGCTGCCAAACTATATTATAACAAGCTAAAAATATATTAAATATTTTCCTTTCCTAATATGACCTTACCACACAAGTAATAGCTGGACTTGCCACTAGGATGTTATCTGATAACCAAGGGGAGGGGAGGCGTGCGAGCCTGAACAGGGGGTGAGACATTGGAGAGAGGCTGCTTCAGCGACTGTGACCAGGAGGAGAAGCTGTTATGTTTCTATTTAGGTGGGTGATGAAAACATTTCTGAATCCCTGCTTTAACCCATCTCTGACCACATGACCCACCATAAGTGCTCCTCAATACAAGCCCCTAAGCTCGTGCAAAATCTCTCCTGCCCCATGCTGCACCATATAGAAAGGGTCAGCTGGTCATGTAAAGACCATACATCGGGAGTCTAACACAGATGACTGGAATGTGCTCGGTCCTCCTCTAATGCTGTGCCATCAGAAAAATGATTTAGCAGGTGACCTGGGCTCTAGGGTGTTGCATGTGTAACTGGGATGGGGAACAGCCAGCCAGAAGAGATTCCTGTACTGGACATCGTCCTGATTCTGCCCCAGTAATGAGCAGCCTCAGCAGCCACATCTGCTGCCCTCCCTTTGGAGGAGACCACACCATCCCCAGATGAATACAAAGTTTGGAGGGAAGTTTTGGGGGTGATGTCAAGCTCAGGTATGAAAGGCTGGAGAATCTGTTACACAGGGCAGGCATCTGGTTTTGATTGTTTAACCTCACTGGTGTCACATTTGAACACCATTTTGAAATGTTTCTCTTCTTGCGTGTATGTTGGAATAAAAAAAATTTACCAGGCTGCCTTGATTCTTGCTGATCACTGCGGTTTTAACTAGAAATAGTTGCAATAAAATGAATGGGAAAGACCTATCCCCACAAAAAGCAAAATAGCAACACAGCCTGAAACTAGAGATGGAAGCACTACTTAACAAATGAGAGATGCAAAGGGCAGAAGCTATGAAAAGGCACAGCATGAACAAGTCGATAACACTTGGCCTACCCAGTAATTCCTCCCAGATTCTTACTAACAGAAAGTCTCTCTAGCAAGGTCACTGGGTTTTGAAATCAAGGTAGCACGATCCTGGAGGGAGGCACATTTCTAGTCTCCTAAAGTTTCTAGAAGACACCCTCCCTCTCTTCGTGTTTCCACACAGATGGAAAATGTAAACTGTAAATGGACAACAACATGTCCAACATGCTGGAGCATTTCCTCAGTCTCTCTGTGCTCTCTTCACAGTTAACTCATGCTGTGTAGTTGGGCTGGTTCACCTAACCCTACATTCCTTCCTGCTCCTACTTTTAGCTCTTAGGACTCTACCTCCAGCACAAGGAAGACCAGAGAGATCAAGTGGCTCCATTGCACCTCATAAGGCATGGCCTGTCTACCGTTTCCATCCACCCTCTTTGCTCTGTGTCCTTTCACTGCAGTTAAGACCTCACCAATGTGTGTGACGTCCTCATTCCATTCACTAAATGCACAGCAAAGTGCATAGTTGCTCTTACACTCTCTTCTCCTGCTCTTTCTACAGCTCTTTGCATTCTCTTTGTACACTCACCTTGCTGCTTCTGCATGGTGGTGAAGTCTTCAAAGGTGAGAGTGCGCACAGGAGGCCTCCAGAAGGCATAGGTCTCCATAATGGCCTCCAGCCCCGTCCTACACAAAGAAAATAAACAGAGAATAAGAATGTCAGTCAGATGGCAAGGATACTGGTGCTGAGGAAAGAGGCCTCTGACCTTGCTTGACAGGCTGCCAGTGGCCACTGAAATATCACCTTGGTATCTGTGAATTCCTCAAGCAAGCCTTCCCACGCAGGTGCTGGCCACCAGGATAAAATTGAATTTCCCCAACCCTGGATTTCAAAAACTCCTAACAGTCTCTCAATGCCTTTTTCCTTTCTAACAAGGATTGCAAACCTTCCATCTGCTTTGCAGAAGGCATATGACTGTCAGCTGCTCAAGGCATTCTTTATCATTGAGAGGACTTCCACACTTTGTGGATGCAAGCTATCATGCAAAAAAAGGAGGTCTGGGATTCAGCCCACAGAATCAGCAGGATTTTTTGAATTGGTTTTCCCTGACACTTCATAATTCTGGACTCTGTTGAAGTGCTATGGAAAGCCAAAAAAAAAAAAAGGGGGGGGGGGGGAATCTCCTCGGTTTTGGACTTCAACTAGAAATGCATAAGATGGTCTTTATAAAAAATCAGTGGAATCCTGCTTTGTGTCCCTAATTCACCACAAGGATATATCAATGAGAAACAGCCCAAAATCAATTTCTCTTCTTGAAGAGTTGGGGTTTCATATTTATTCTTATTTTCACCACAGAATGTTAGCTCTGCTGGAAGTCTCTTAGCTCTACAAGCTCAGTGAGGACATAGGCGCATTTTCAGGAAAAGACCCTGTGTTCTTTACTAGACAACCCCCTGGAGCTTCTTCCCAGGAAAGGCTCTCCTCTGTGGAAGCTGCACATTGCTCTGTTCCCCACTCCTTTCCTTCCTCTGCCTCTTTTCCTGCAGTAGGCATTAGCCCTTGCATTCAAAGAACAGTACTAGAGATTCTTCATCAAATGTGAGAATGTATTCTCTTTCAATGCAAAAGGCAATAACATCCCCGAGAGCCTCTCGTCAGATGCTGAACTGACATTGGAGCTGCCTTTTGCTTCTGAAAATGTCTTTCTGCACGTGCCTCCACTCACTCAGTTAACTTTCCAAAGTCTCCCCGGAAGCTTGGATGCTTTAAATACGTTGGACTTGGCAAACCAAACTCTGTATTTTAAGAGGAGGTTTAGAAGAGAGGTTGTTGCATGGTGTTTATTAGCTGCTAAGCTGTTAGATGTAAAAACAGAAGACATCTCTGCATAGCAGCCTCACACTAGTGCTGAGCACATTACCACAAAACTATTTGGCTAATACAGTGGCCTCTGCCAGCTCATGAAGCTCAGAGACACAAGGTAATGCAGAATTTGAACCCATCTGCTAAACTGAGCTCTGTGTGCAAAAGCTGCTCTGTGTCTACCAGTATCACCCCCAGGATTTCCTCTGGTCCTGGTATGCAAAAGCCACATATGTCCAGACTCTCTCTGCTTCTCGACTCACACAGCCAGGAAGAGAACAGTAACTTTTTTTGAAGCCTCATGAAATAATCCCCAGCCCAAACACCAAGGGAGAACTTTCTGGTACAGTATATCTAGGGGGCATAAAATGCCCTGAGCAAGTTGCAATGCAACCAGACCTGCCTTGATGATTAAAACCACATAATACATCCAGAAATGCAGACTGAAAGTTCCAGCTGTGCTAATCCAGCTGCTCTGTGTCTGCCACAGGATCATGTGGGGAAGCAGGGAGGTCAGCTCACTAAAATCAGTGGACACACTGGCTCAGTCATTAGATCCCCATGTACATAGCCCCACCCTGCACCAGCATCAGACTTCTAGCTCTGTTCTCATGACTCCCTTCCAGTAAAACCCAATCCCTAATGGGAGGTGGCTCAGGGAGACAGTAAAGGTAGGTTAAAACTATTATCCCTACCTCTCGCTGGAGCCTACATCATTCTCAGCTTAGCAATTGACTGACAATTCAAAGTTTCTGACTCTTCATCTACTACTTTCCCTTATACAATACAATTCTCACAGGTACCATACAATTTGTACTTCCAATAGACTAGGAAAATTAGAGAATACTCAGGATACAACAAAAAGAAGAAATAAAATAGTAAACCAGGAATAATATACTGCTTTCAAGGGTTGGACTCCACTGTGTCTGAGAGCTGACAGAGGGTAAATGGCAGCAGTGAGAGCACCAGAGCAGCTTGTAAAGCTGTTCTATTCCTGCCCTGTATGTCAGGCAAAGGAAAGATGCCATCAGGGACCCACCTCCTCCTCTGTGGCAGCAGATCTACAAAAGCCCTTTTTCTGTGGACACAGCTCCTGTCACCCTTCCTGTTCCACACTGCGACTGCTGGCAACAACACTGTAGCCTTGCCAGACTCCAGATTGCCCTGCAATGCTGAGTGCAGTATGGTAGCCAGAGTTACCTGAAGATTGGATGCCAAACTTCACAGCTGGCTCTTTCTGCCCCAAATGTGAGTTCTTTACTCCCCCAGAGGTATGCACATGCTGAGCATGCATTATAAAACACCCTCTCTTAGTATGCAGGTGACAGAGCTCAGTTATGTCCAGTTCTACTATGCAGAAATTTAAGTCCCTATATACTAGATCAACCTTTTTTCCCCCAAAGGTTTGTGGGTTTGTTGGTTCTTTCCTTTGGTCTGTGTTTTTTTGGACCTTTTTCCTTTGTGCAGAAAAAAAATGTTGTGGGTGTTTTTGAAATAGCATCTAAGCAGAACACATCCTTACTGAATTTTCACATCCTTCCATGCATCAGACAAGATCCATGAGACAGCAGCTTCCTGTGCTAACCTGCTAGGCACCTACCACTCCATGTATGGAGTCTTGCAGAAGAAGAACATGCAGCCATGCAAAAAAGCCAGCTTTTGATGAGAAGGCACTGCGTGGCTTATTTTACAACTCTATCCCCAGTCTTTCTTCTGTCTGTGATGTATTCCTGTTTTTGAAACAAAATATTGAGGTGCTGAGCTAGGAATCTAGAAATTTATTCACCGTAGACTCTAATAACCCTCTCTCCCATAGCAGTTTATGACATTGGTGTGCTCTCCTAGTCAGCAGAAGTACTGGAGTGCTATTCTCTCTGTGTGTTCCATCCCCTATAAGGGAAAAGAAAACCCACCTGGCCAATGAAGATACCTTTTGGGACAACAGTAAATGCTGATGAAAAATAATTGTTTGCAGGTTTTCTGAAATCTCAACAGTTTTTAGGGGGAGGGGGAGGCTTTGGTGAGGGCTGCTGGTACCGAGGGTGCTGAACTTTATCCATGTGGGATCCACTTTCACTTCCAAAGAACCGCACTGAAAAATTAACTTCAAAATATCTATCAGGCCATAAACTCTCCCCTTTCATACCATCTTTATGAAGGAAGTCAAAAAAAAGTATCAGAAGAGGACTCACTGCCAGATATTTTTTATAAGGTCAGTTCTTTAAAAGGTACCCAAAATTTGCTCTCTTTTTCATTCATTCTTTTATTTTTAGTGCTATAAAGTTTTAATAATAGGCAATAAATGAAACAGTTCCATTGTCTGAAAAAAGAAAAGAGCTATCTGTGCACCTCCATAATCCATTCCAGATGGCTGATCTTGCCATTCCCACTGCACACAGGTTTCAGGTCATCTTTTCATTGTTCACTGGGGAAGCCAATTGGCTCCAAGTGCCCTCCTGGCTCTCTTATTCTATACAAAAGCTCAAAGAGCATTTCCAACACAAACAACTTTTATTCATCTCAGCTGCAAACATCTGAAAAAAAAGTGCTGTTATTTACTTCAGCCTGGGTTTTTTTTCTTCCATCACTCTGCTGAGTTTCCTGACTGTGGTCCCTTCTGGCTTCCTCCTGGATAAGGAGCTCCTGCAAGCATCCCACATCCCTAAAGTCAAATGAACTTTAGTCGGTCTCCAAAAATAGGCTCTGTGGCATTAAACCCACACCCTCACTACCCAAACATTTGGCTACTTGAGCTCCATATGTCAAAAACTCTGGTTTCTCAATCCCTTGAAGTTCAAGAAAAAAACCAAGTAATACTTGCCTTATACATGTATTATGTGGGTATCATTTCACCACCAGGAAACTTGTCTTTCAAAAACAACTTGTTGCATTTTTACAGATGCTTCGTGTGTTTTTGCAAAAAGCAAAGAGAGACCAAACATCAGGTAGGGGGAGTCACTAATAAGCAGAAACTAAGACTCGGCCTCCTAACACAGGTTAACTCTCTAATCCAACAAGGCCAATGACTAGATTGCTGAACACCATTACTTGACATGGTTTGAGTGCTCAAAGACTACAAATATTGTCCAACTGCTGAGCTGTTTTCATCCTACCCTCTGAAACACCTCACTGCTCCTTCTCCCAGCTCAAAGACTGAGGCAGTAAGCTGCGAAGGGAGACACTCATGCAAATAACTGAAAGCGATCCAAGAAAGGATCTGGGAAAAGATATGGCTACAGGCAGTTAAATCATGAAGGGGTGTCCTCAGAGCAGCAGGGTTTTATCAGCCCCTTGTATTAATGAAGGGTGACCAGAGTCATAAG